GCATGGTTGAAGAATCCTGATTATGATAGAGTAAGTTTTCTTGGTTTTTTTGTTTCTGCTGATTTGATGATTTGCCTTCCTTTCACTTTCAGTAATCTGAAGCCTTGCGTTTACTTTTTCATGTTGTTGGTACTAATTCATTCAGTTCAGTTAATTTGCGCAACAATATTAAAGAAAAATCATAGGAAGTGTTTTTATCTTTCTTTTTAATCAACTTTATTGTAATTCTTATGGTAGTCTTGATTTGTCTACGATGAAATTTTAGGTTTACTTGTTTGGATTTTATGAGGATTATTTATTGATTAACCTTCATATAGATAAAAGCTGTCGGAGTATTATTTCCTTGTATAGAATCAGTTGTGGTAATTCTTTGTTTCTGGTTTTAAAATCAAATGTTGTATAACATATAAGCTAGAACTTTTGCAGTCAAGGATTCTCAAGGAAATCTCTAGAATATGAAATGTGGGATAATTAATAACTATTTTAAGAGATATGGTATGTTGCATACCAAAAACTTTTTGTTGAAAGTGCATAGAAAATGTGGACATCATGTGTCTAACATACACTTAAAATTTTTAATAGGAAAAATGTTTTTGGCACTTCTGCCTACATTATAATAAATTGAAAAATAAAGGGAAATCTTGTCTTCTAAATTTAAATTAGTATAACACACTTTAGTTGCTTCTATTTTTTGTTTGAACACTTAAATAGTACGTCTACAATGTGGGAATAAGGACGCATACATCAAGTCTTTTCTTACGCAACATGTGCTAGTTATGCCCACAAAAGAGTTAGGATAAATGTTAAGACGATGGTGATTTCTTTGATGAAAATAACGTCACATATAAAAATTTCAGATTCTTCATTTTATGGAAGTTTGGCATTTTTGACATGAGGAAATTATTCTTATTTTACTATTTTGTTTCTTTTGCAGGTTGATTGGTTGAATAAATTCATTTTTGATATGTGGCCTTGCTTAAATAAGGTTGTCCTCTTCCTCGTTTATTTTATTATTTATAGAGTTCTCATCTAGCATTCTCATATTTTTATTCCTCAGCTTAGGTTGATATTTTTCTTATAATCAATGTGCTGATTTTTTATTTGCTCTGTGGATCTTAAACAGGCAATATGCAATAGAATAAGAAGCTCAACGAGGACAACATTTGACCAATACATTGGAAAGTACTTCATTGAGTCCCTTGAATTTGACAATCTTACTCTTGGAAGTTTTCCACCAACAATTCATGGTAGGCCTTCCCCCCGTCTTACGCTTTTGCAAGGAATGAATACACCTATCTTAAGTAAAGGATCCAGTTGTGTGCTAAACATGCTGACTATAGCATGTTAAACCTTGTAAGCTTTATGATATTAGATATTTGCTTACAAATTGATATGATGTAAGAACCACAACCCCAATCTTCCAAAATTTATCCACAGTATTGGAAGGAATTAAAGTTTCTGTAGTTCAATTGATTTTGGCTATTATTAGTCTGTATATAATATGTGATCATAATATTATATTGAAACTCTGAATATAATTATTAGAGCAAACTATTTGTTTATTTAGAGGCCTCTTACGTGGAATAATTCAATTATCACACGAAGTAAAGGCAAAGAAATTAAGGATGCCAAAGGATGTTAAGATTCATGTGATTCGGTCATCACCTACACCATGGGTGAGCAGAGTGAGGAAGTAATCCAGTATTAAAAAGTCTTTTGGTGTACATGTATAAATGTAACTAGTGATTGTATTTTAATGAACCCAAATGTATATAATTTCATTATAAAGTGAAGTCTCAAATCTCCCTAGAAACTAAACTAACAAGAAAGTCTACTACTACTTTGTAAAATCAGAAGACCAACATAGATTGATGAAAAACACAACACTCCAAAAGATCTCCTCCTCAATGCACCTTGATCGAAGATGTTACTACATAATTGTTAGTCCATATATCCTGCATGAGATATCAAGAGAACAATACACCTTATGTCATTCTTGTTTCACTCATTCATAATAAGGCCTTGATAAACCACAACAATTTCTTTTTATATTGCCATGACTCATGGCTACTCAATGGAGCCATAAGAATAGTCCATCCAATGCATGGAGCTCTCTTTAATGCATGGTCTGAGGAGGGGTTAACATACATAGGTTTGCTTTTGCATTTGCATGGAGGCTTTTTTCATGAATTGAATGTGGGGCCTTTAGATTACGTAGAAGGATGCTCATTGAAGCTATATAGGCATAAATAAACTCACTTCAATTTCCTCGCCATCCTTCATATGCAATTTACATTAGCCCAGTTCATTTCTCAAGCTATTGTATTTAAAGATCACTAAAAATAATAAAACTTAATCAGTTTGGACGCCAATAAGAAAAAAATATAATATTTAACAAAAAATCTTGACTTACTTAAATTTCTAGGAAGAATTTAAGTGAGTGGGGCCAACAACATTATATTGGTGCAATATTTTAGTAATTCTTATCCTTTACTCAATATTGTTGCAATAAGCTTGGATCTCCTCTATATATCCTCTCTAAATTGAGCTCTTCACGTTCCTATGTCCTTAAGAGGCTGAGCATCTTACAGCCACAAAAAGGCATATGAAAATCATAAGATATTTCTGAACATGTTTTTCTTTTCAAATTGAGATGAATCCATCGATATTAAAAGTGTGATTACCTTTGAATTTTTTATACTTATAAAAATAAGCTTTTTTTTTAATACTACATGACACTTATACCATATTAAAATTGAACTCCTCTATACTAAGTGACGAGGGAATTGTCCTGCATAGGTTCCTCGCAATCCCACTTCCGCAGTTCCGCAGCTTTTGCGAGTTTCACGATACGATCTCAACAAGAGAAGTGGGTGCGGGATTCTCATTGCTGCTATAGTTGTCAGACCCGCGTGGGTCCATATTTAATATTTTTTTAATTAAAATTAGGATATTTGAGAGAAAATTATTTATATTTTGTTATTTTCTTGTTTTGACAGACTTTAGCTATTGTTTTTGTGCTTTGGAAGTTCTCTATTTTTTTATTTTTCAGAGCATTATATTCTGTTTCTTTTGCAAGTGTTGTGTTTGTATATTGCTCAAGAACATGCGGATTTCTTCTTGCCGTCTGTATCTTTTCGTTGTTCCATCGTTAGACTCGCTGTTTTCCACCTGGACAGCTGCCAAACGCCTCTTCTCCCCTTCCAAATACCGTCAACCTCCCATAGTCTCATTCCCTTGCCATTTCACAACCACCTCCTTGCTAAATTCTCTTCCTAAACACCTTCTAGAAGCCCTAATATATTTTCAGATTTGATATATTGCTGTGAATTGCCTTGTTCTTGGTCTTCTATTGAGCTTATCTGAACTGATGCATTTAATATAAATTAGTTTAAATGTTTAGTTCTTACTCTTTTTATTGAGAATGTTCAATCTGTTCTTTAATTCCAACAGGTGTTAAAGTTGTAGAAACTCAAGAGAATGAACTACTTATTGAGCCTAGACTTCGATGGGCTGGTAATTGCAATGTCAACGTGGCTCTAAAACTGTTTTCCCTTAAATTCAATGCACAGGTAAGCCACTAAACGATATGATAAAACGGACAGTGCGCTCCTATGAATTTACATATCTAACACCTTACCTATGCATAAAAATTTGCATTTCACTTAAAGTTAAATTGATGGCATTTTTTATGCGAAAAGAAATATTTTAGTGGTATTAATGCAAAAAGTAAAGTTTTAGTGTTAGATATGTAACTACATAAGAATTGTGTGGTTTGCATGTAAATGTCCTTAAAAAGGCCTAATCTTTGAACCATTTTTCGAATTTTTTATAGTTGTTGGATTTACAAATATTCTTGGCACCTCGTATTACTCTAAAGCCACTTGTTCCAAGTTTCCCATGTTTTTCAAGCATAAGTGTTTCTTTGGTGGAAAAGGTAATTATACTAGGAATGGTTTTTTGCTCAAGTGAACATTTTTAAATCTTTTTTCCAAATAATTTTTCATTTTTCTTCTTCTATTGCAGCCTTATCTTGACTTTGGACTCAAACTACTTGGGGCAGACATCATGGCCATTCCTGTATTATATCGCTTTGTTCAGGTCTTCAAACTTCCATAATCTACATTAATCTGGGAAGCATAGTTTACATTGAAGTCTGGCATGATTATTTTTGTTTTCTTACTATTAATTCTAGAAAATAAGTTTTTAACATACTTCAAAATTGGATTGAAACTAACCATAATCTATATGAAATTTTCTTTTAAGGACAAAATTGCTTCCGAAATTTCAAAACTCTACCATTGGCCTAAAGATTTGGAGATAAAAATTCTGGATAATGCTAGGTAATTCTCACCATCTAGAATTAGGACGAGTTTTTTCTCCTTCGCTTTTGTTCTCAATGAGTTACTTCTTGTAGCTCAACTTTGTATGAAATTTTGTTCTTTAAGAGTAAATGCTTTTACTAGATGAACATAACTTAATTTCTATCTTTTTTATGTAAATTGTTCGAGAAGTTACAAGTTGCATGCTGACATTTATTTAGAATGAAGTGCTAAAATAGTCTCTTGGTTATTTACACGGTGTTATTTTAATCCAGAGTTTAAAAAGTGTTAAATTAGTCCCCAGGCTTTTTTAATGGACTATTTCAAGCCATATTAGTAGAGTCTGGGACTAAATAGACACTTTTATAACTTTGGAATTAAAAATGTCATCTTGCAAGAATTCTGAGGACCATTTTGACGCAGTTCTCCATTTATTTATTAGTTCAATCAGTTGTCAACTTATTGCATGATTTTTTTTTTTAACTTTGTGTTTTCAGCGGTGCCACGAAGAAACCTGTTGGAATACTACATGTGAAGGTCGTGCGTGCGCTAAACCTCTTGAAAATGGATATCCTCGGTAAATCTGATCCTTACGTGAAACTAAGTTTGAGTGGTGAAAGACTGCCATCCAAGAAAACTTCGGTGAAGATGAGCAATCTTAACCCTGAATGGAATGAAACTTTCAAGCTTATTGTGAAGGATCCTCGAACCCAAGTTCTTCAGCTACATTTGTTTGACTGGGAAAAGGTTTAGCTTCCTGTTGACCTCTTTGTCTTCTTCTAAAGGCATCTTTTTGCATTCAAATTGTTTTAAAATTTAGAGAAATTTGCATATGGAGAATTTTGCATATGTAGCACAAATTTCTCATGTATTTACATATCTCACACCTAAACTTTTACATTTACATATATAGCACTATGGCGCTTTACTATATGCATGAAAATGTGTATTTCACTTTTAAAAATTACTAAATAATGCTATTTTTGATGTGATATTAAAGATTTGGGTGCTCTGTGTGTGAATATGAAAGTAGTGTGATATATGTTGTTATTTTGACCCCCAATTAATTAACTAAGGTAAAAGGGCAATTTTGTAATGTGGTATCGCTCACCTACCACATCTCACCAACCGTTCACCTACCGCTCACCTACCTCCCACCTACCATCTCTTGCTTCTATAAATAGAGAGGGTGTGAGGCTTAGGAGAGAAAGGGAAGAAATCTTATGGGTGTGAGGCTTAGGAAAGCAAGGGAAGAAATCTTAAGGGTGTGAGGCTTAGGAGAGCAAGGGAAGAGATCTTAAGGGTGTGAGGCTTAGGAGAGGAAAGGGAGAATATATTTTATGCTACCACAAATGAGGAGTGAATAGCTATAG